GTATTGGGGAGAAAAAGGAAGAATGTTATATTTCAGGGAGATATAAAGTCCAGGAAGAGAATATAAGAAAAGATGATGAATTTAACTGCATAAATTTGATGTGCTACCAGGAGAAGGTTGTTTCCCTTATATCTTTAATATTTTGAATAGGGAAATGAATAAACTAATGGATATTTATTCAACTCAAACTGAGGAGATATGTACCTGAAGATGTGTGCTCAGTTCTGGATAGCTAGCTCAGAGATATCTGCTGGTAATCTGCAGCATTTTCACAATAAAGAGACCAGGGTCATGAAAGAGGTAATCCTGCTATTATGCAGGAAGGGTCTGCCAATGTTTAACCCAGAGAAACAAAGTCTTGTGGAGGAGGCATAGTCATAATCTTTAGTATTTTGAATGTACATAATGTAAACACTATACTTAAGATATTGTAATTGGCACAGTAATATTATTTAACATAAATTCCAAATTCAAACTTCTCCAATTATCCCAATAATGTTTTTTTTAGAATATTAATTTTCCCTCTCTTTTTCTCCCTAAGATTTAGAGGTAAAGAAACATCTACATGAGGGAACGAATTTCTAGCAATTGTATACATGTATGATCCAAAAAAAGTGTGACTTGGCTATTAAGAAATCTAACAAGATCTCAGGCTGTCTTAATAGAGAAATATTAATGAAAGCAGTCACTCTGTTCTTTTCTGTCCTGGTTAGACCACAGCTGGAAACATGTGTGCAGTTGCAGATAGCTCATTTAGAGACATCAATGATTATCTGGAGTGTGCTCAGAATACAGCGATCAGGGTGATGTGAGATATGAAACCCTGCATTGCACATGAGGGTTCTGGAGATATTTAGCCTCGGTAAGCAGAGGCTTGGGGAATAGCTGTGGACTTTAAATATCTCAATGGCTACTGTTATAGGTTGAGCTAGAAGAACAGAGCATCAAGCCACAGAGAATTTTTCTTAAGCCTTAAAATTTAGTGAAATTTGCCCTGCTGACTTGAAAACTTGCTTTAGACTGGTGACTCGCTTTTTCTTCCAATTTCTCTATTTTAGAATGGGAATATCACCCTATCCTTACCCCAAGATGACATTTTGGAAGTAGATAACTTGTTTTCTAGGTTTCACTGGTTCATAGATGAAGAGGAGTTTTGCCCTGGGAAGACCCGTACCCCAAATCTCACCCATTCTTGACTTAGATAATATGTAGGTGAGATTTGGGATTTAGAGTTGATGCTGAAATGGGTTAAGAATTTGGGGACCATTGAGATGGAGTGAATTGTATTTTGCATGTGGGAAGAACACAAATTTTTAGGGGTCACAGGACAGACTATTATGAGTTGACTTGTGTCTCTCCCAAAATATGTGAAAGTGCTAATCCTCTGAATATCAGAATGTGACCTTATTTGGAAATAAGGTCATTGCAGATATGATTAGTTGAGTTAAAATGAGTCATACTGGAGTAGACTGGGCCACTAATCTAATATGACTGGTGTCCTTATAAGAAGATGCCATGTGAATACAGAGAGGCAGGAGAACACCTTGTTATGATGGAGAGAGAGACTGAAGATACAGAGCTGTACCCTAGGGAAGGCCATGATAGACAGCAAACCACCAGAAGCTGTGAGAGAGGTAAGGAAGAATTTCTCTACAGGTTTCAGAGGCAGCTTGGCCCTCCTGACTCGTTGATTTTGGACTTCTGGTCTCCAGAACTGTGGGACAATAAGTTTATGTTGCTTTAAAACACCCAACCTATGGTACTCTGTTAAAGCAGCCCTGGGAAACTAATACAGGTACAATGCAGAAAAAAATAGATAAGTTTATTCCTTGGGTTCCAGGAAAGAATAAAGAACCCATGAATGGAACTGAAAGGGAAACAGATATCAACTCAACATGAACAAGAACTTGCTGGTAGTTAAAGTCAACACAAAACGTAGTTGAGGGCTTAAGCAAGTCATAAATTCCCTACTATTAAAAATATGCAAGTAGAATGAATCAGGAATACTGCAGAGTTGATTTATGCATCAAGTTAGACTGAATGATCTCCAATTCCAGAATTTTATGAATGTCTGTTAAAGTCCTGCCAAAGAAAGGCTGGCAGCTGCCTTCCACCTTCTGCTTCAATGATAGATGATGGTATATAATAGAATGGCATGCAGAGTTTATAAGATTAAATCTAACCTCGGCATTTACTAGCTATTCATCCTTAGGTAGTTTCCATAACCTCCCGAGCCTCAGTTTTCCACATGTTAGACAGGGATATTAACAATAATCATTTCATAGTGTTATTATGAAGATTAATAATTTAAATTGCTTAGAACAGGATATGGCACATAGTAAATACTACAGAAGCGTTGGTTGAGAATCTACTTGTTCTCACATTGCTTAGACATCATGCATTAACACTGTCCTCCCAGCATTGCCGTTCCTCACCTCCAAAATAGGAAGAATTGGGAGTCAAACTAGAATGGATTGCATTTTTTAAGTCTTGTTTTCTTTTCTAGATCCCAAATTGCACCATTTGGACCATTTATTGACCAAGGATCAGAAGTGTGATGTTTTTTGTCAATTTTCTCATGACAAGCCGTGATAATGTGTTAGTCGACTGCTAAGATGGGTTTGTGTGTGTGTGTGTGTGTGTGTGTGTGTGTGTGTGAGCATTTCAAGCGTTTCTGAGAAATAAAAGATTCAGCAGCAGAATTTTCAGATAATAAAGACTATGATTTACCCTAATAAAGCTCACTTGAGTTTTTGGTACTTGTGTGCTGGAGTTAAAGGAAGATGTGAAGTTTTCACAATTAAATCCTCAGAAATTCAGGTATTTCATTAAATTGGCATCTGTTGGTGACTGAGGGTAATTTCAGCTTCAGAAGCTAGTAAAAGCATTTTTCAGCATATGAAAGTCATAATAAACTGGCGCATAATTGTCAAAAAGGAATCCTCACTCAGTGACTTAAATTTAAAAAATGTGCTTTTATTTCTTCACTGCATAAGGTTACTAATCACTGCATCATTTGGGTGCATAAGCGACAGCTTTGACAGGGTAATGATACCCAGGTAAATTCACAGTTCCTTTCAGTGAAGCAAACCCATCAACAGATGTGGGTAGCAGTGCTTACACCTGTATAGTTCTGGAACCAGTGATTATGTAACCTTTGAATATCTCAGAGGGCAGACAGAGCATCAAAGAACTATGTATTCTTTCCATAAAGAGAAGCTGAATGAGATAGCTCAACTTTTACACAGGGGGATACACTGAAGGAAAGGGAGGAAGGCTTGGCCGAGAAAGTGTGTTTCATCTGAGCTGATGTTAAGAGGCCATCAAGAGTAATAGAAAGGAGAGAGATTGAGTTTCTAGAATTTATATGTGCTTTTTTATATAACTCCTTCATTTTCACAAAAGAAGGTAGCCAGTGTGGTGGAAAGACCAGCTCTTCACTTGGTGTATAAACCCAGTTGTAACTGTGGTTCTGTGTTTTATGAGCCATTTGTCCTCAACAAGTTCCTGTGTCTCACTGACGTCATAATATATAAAACATTGGTAATGATAAATTCCCTTGGGATTGTCATTGAGGTTAAACGATCTAAGGATACGAACCATCCACTTCAGTATATGGCAATAGTAAGGACTTTTTTTGTTGACTTTGTCTTTAAGCCTCTTCATCTCTTAAATGTCCCAAAGGCAGAGTTTGGGAGCAGGTAGGGGTCAACGTCATGGATGAGGCAAACATTGCAGTTCATTGAAAACTAGCGAACTCCTAATTCATCTCAACTCAGTAAATATTTCTTGAGTATTTGCTGACCACCGAAGGAGTAGAACGATAAATCAAAGATTGCTCTTTAACTCCTGGAAAATGAAATTCAAAATCAAGTCAAAATAAACACAGCCTTATGATCCATTGAAAAATGTCTTGCAAGGTAAATGAACTGATTTTTAAGCATATATTCAACATTCACACATATTGACCATTTTGGTGAAAACACAGGACAGCCTTAAATTATCTCCCTTGGCAATATTTATTTGTGGATTTGCAGGGGTACCAATTAGCTTGATGGTGTTCCCTCATCAATAGTTATTTTCTTTGTTTAGTCACTGTCTTAGTCTGTCTAGCCTGCTGTAACTGAGTACCATGAACTGAGTGGCTAATAAAAAACAGAAGTTTTTTTCCTCACAGTTCTGGAGCCTGAGAAGTCCAAGATCATGACTGTGGCAGATTCAGTGGTCAGAGTCCATTTCCTGGTTCATAAACAGCAGCTTTTTTGCTGTATCCTCACATGGTGGAAGGGGGCAAAAGATCTCTCTGGAGTTCCTTTTATAAGGACCTAATGCCCTTCATGAGGGCTCTACCCTCATGACCAAATCATTTACCAAAGACTCACCTCCTAATACCATCACATTGTGGGGGAGGATCTTTCTTTTTTATTGAGGTATAATTGATTTACAATGTTGTGTTAATTACCGCAATACAACAAAGTGATTAAGTTATACATGTATATACGTTCTCTTTTTATATTCTTTTCCGTTATGGTTTATTACAGGATATTGAATATAGTTCCCTGTGCTATACAGTAGGATCTTGTTGTTTATACATTCTATATATAATACTTTGCATCTGCTAACCCCAAACTCCCAGTCTATTCCTTCCCATGTCACCCACTTTGGCAACCACAAGTCTGTTCCTATGTCTATGAGCCTGTTTCTGTTTTGTAGATAGGTTCATTTGTGTCATATTTTAGATTCCACATATAACTGATATCAGTTGGTATTTGTCTTTCTCTTTCTGACTTACTTCACTTAATATGATAATCTCTAGTTGCATCCATGTTGTTGGAAATGGCATTATTTCAGTATTTTTTATGGCTGAGTAATATTCCATTGTATATATGTACCACATCTTCTTTGAGGGGGGCGCAGTCAGGATCTTAATATATGAATTTCTGCGGAGCACAGACATTCAGTCCATAACAGTTACTATTCCTTTTTTCTTTCCAAATTAGTTTGTGTGGCCGTGTGGAAGAACCACCACATGAGGACGGTGACCAATTACTTCATCGTCAACCTTTCTCTGGCTGACGTGCTCGTGACCATCACCTGCCTTCCAGCCACTTTAGTAGTGGACATCACTGAGACCTGGTTCTTTGGACAATCCCTCTGTAAAGTGATTCCTTATTTACAGGTAATTATTTTTCACACTTTTGGGGTTCAAACACAGAAACTACTGAAAAAGTATAGTCATTTTCAATTATATTCATGACCCTTTGGTAAATTACCTAGTGAGCTAAGAGAGAAATATACTTGCTTAAGGAACTGGTAAACTTAAGGAAAGTAATACCAGGTAAACAAGGTAAGTTCTGGGTAAAAATAAAGTGTTAGAATTCTCAAGTCATCAATAAATGCTGCACAAACCTTTTACCTTTTTGGTCTCTAATTTTCTGATTATAAAATAAGGAACTTGACCAAATTAATGATTCAGCCTTTCCCAGTCCAAGTAATTGAGGACTATCTGTTTTTATAAGTTGTCTCATTTACTACTGAGAAATCAAAAGCTATATGATCAAAGCAGTACAGGGAACAGGTTATAGTGCAGGTTTTGAATTAAACTACCAGGAATCTGGTAGAGAATCTTTGCAATCTCTATTCTGCCATTCACCTATTGTATGCTATTGAGCCAAATATGTACGCTCTTTGAGATTCACTTATTTTAAAAGATTAATAATTTTAATTATAACTATCTCTTATGGTGGTTGGATTAGCTTACTTAGATAATTTATATGAACCACTTGGCATAGGGATTGCTCTCTGGAAGACAATGATCTTATAAAAACATAGTACGTTCTCAGTAAACATCAGTCATGGTCATCAGAATTAGATGTTTTATTTTTCAGTTCTGAAAACAGCTTTCCTATAACTAGTTTCTCTACAAGAAATTAAGAACAAACACTTCCAGAGAATAATTTTCTGATTGATATTCTGATAGCTCTAAAATCTTTAAAAATTTTCCCAAGCTGGTGTCCAGGGCCACAGTTCTAAAAGACATGGATTTTCTTTAGCAATTGGACAGTGAGTGAAATGGTGGCCACTCCCTACTTGTTCCCTTGACCACCCTCCACCTCCCGATATTTATTCCATCCAGGCTCCCAGTTGGTTTCATAAGATTTGGAGGAAATGACAATATGCTCCCTATAATGACAAGTTGGGGAAGTTAGAACAACTGAATCTAGATACAGACCTTACGCTCTTCAGAAAATGGACTCAAAATGGATCATAGACCTAAATGTAAAATGCAAAACTATGAAACTCCCAGAAGATACCATAGAAGAAAACCTAGATGACCTTTGGTGTTTTGATGACTTTTTATATATAACACCAAAAGTCTGATGATTGAAATAAATCACTGATAAGCTGAATTCATTAAAATTGAAAATGGCTGCTTTGCAAAAGTCAATGTAAAGAGAATACAAAGACAAGGCACAGACTGGGAGAAAATATTTGCAAAAGACATGATGATAAGGAACTTTTATCTAAAATATACAGAGTTGTTAAAGTTCAACAGTATGGAAGCAAACAACCCAATTAAAATATGGGCCAAAGACCTTAACAGACACCTCACCAAAGAAGATATACAAGTAGCAAAGAAACATAGGAAAATATGTCCCTCATCACATATCATAAGCGAAATGCAAATTAAAATAATGAGATATCACTGCACACCTATTAGAATGGCCAAACTATGGAACACTGATAATACCAAAAGCTAGCAAGGATGTGGAGCAACAGGAATGCTCATTCATTGCTGTAGGAATGCTGCAAAATGTTACAGCCACTTTGGAAAACTGATTTTTTTTTTACAAATTTAAACATAGTCCCAACATATGATCCAGCAATTGCATTCCTGAAAATTTACATCCACACAACAACTTGCATGCAAATGTTTACAGCAGCTTTATCTATCATTACTAAAAGTTGGAAGTAACCAAGATGTCCTTCAGTAGATGAATGGGTAAATAAACTGGGGTACAACCCGGTAATAGAATATTATTCAGTGATTAAAAGAAATGAGTTATCAAGCAATAAAAAGACATGGAGGCGGCTTCCCTGGTGGCGCAGTTGTTGAGAGTCTGCCTGCTGATGCAAGGGACATGGGTTCGTGCCCCGGTCCGGGAAGATCCCACATGCCACGGAGCGACTGGGCCCGTGAGCCATGGCCGTTGAGCCTGCTCATCTGGAGCCTGTGCTCCGCAACAGGAGAGGCCACAACAGTGAGAGGCCCACATACCACAAAAAAAAAAGACATGGAGGAACATTAAATACTTATTACTAAGTGAAAGAAGCCAATCTGAGAAGGCTATGTACTGCATAATTCCAATAACATGACATTAGGAAAAAAGACAAAACTATGGAGATAGTAAAAAATATGAGTGGTTGTCAGGGGTTGGAAGGGATGAACAGGCAGAGCACAGAGGATTTATAATGCAGTATAACGTAGGATATTATAATGTTGGATACATGTCCTTATACATTTGTCCAAATGTACAACATCAAGAGTGTACTGATTATGGTGTGCCAATGTAAGTTCACCAATTATATCAAATGTACCACTATGGTGGGGGATGTTGATCATGCGGGAGGCTATGTGGGAACAGGGGGTATAGGGAAATCTTTGTACCTTCTCCTCAGTTTTGCTGTGGTCTTAAAAGTACTCCAAAACTGAAGTCTTGGGAAAAACAAAAGATGAGAGAGACCACAAATAGCTCATTATTAGAAATTATATAAATTAGGCTTTTGGATCTGAAATGTTACAAAGAGACCTTTACCTCAATAGTTCTACAATGACTCATTATAAAAAGAAATAATACATTTTTAGGCCAAACCTCACTGATAGACTACTAAGTGGGAAATGCCATGAAAGTTATAAGCCTCATTGCAAGCATTAAGTTTAACTGCAAGGCTAGTTTTGTCAGTCGTCTGAAAATCATGAGTGGGTTACAAAAATAAACCATAGCAAAAATTTTTGAGAGAAAGAGTACATTGAGCAAAAGGGAAAAATATCACCATAGAAAAAAATCACTAAGCAATGGGTCTTATGATTACGTGGAGACACTGGGAAAATCATAAATAGCAGAGAATTCTAATATGTCACCATTTCTGTGGTGCTTCCAGAAAGTTTTTTAAATTTCTCTTGGTTCCAGTAACCACCCAGGGGGAAATTTGGGGGATCTTTTTAAGTTTTAAGATGGCTTAAGTTGCCCAGAATCTTTTATTGGCTGAGTTGTTCTCTCTGCAAACCAGAAGTTTCCCTGATGGAGAGTGGGGTGATGGAGAGGGATGCATCACCCTGTAATAGGTGCAGCCCTGCTCTAATGCACAGCAATACCTTCTTATAGACTAGGTATTCCAGATTCTCTTACGTGGATGCAAGGACATATTGAAAGCAATGTGCAACCATGAATGAGGCAGGGCATGGGTCTCTCCTAATGTTCATTATGACAGTATTCTTTCCAGCAGCACAACTTAACAAGTCTTACAGTTGAAAGAACATCTTCATCTCTTGATAGCTTCTATCTGCTTCTCTATAAAGTGTCCAGTTTAGTCAACTTGACTAAACAACAGAAGATCAACAGTTGATCCTCTTCACCATAGATCAAGGACAATACTATTGATAACCACAAGATCTGACCCATTCATTACCTCATTCAACATTACTTCTTGATGGAAAGTTGTAAATGCACAAAAATATTGAGGCACTGGTATAACTCACATCTCCAAATTCTCTCAATATTTATTGTCCATTTTCCATAGAATTTTCCCAAGTAGAAGGAATAGGGCCAATGTGCAATAAGCCAATCATCTGAGTAGTTTTTTTTCCCTTAATGGTGATGTTCTGAAACCAATGGTCCCTCATATGATACTTATGTCCTACTGAGTATTTAAAAACATATACAAAACACCCAGCCAAATTTTAAGGTTATTTGGTTGCATTTAAGATTCTTTGGACATTTACTAATTTCCTATTATTTATATGTTCTTTTTCTTCTAAATACAATTCAATGCAACCTTTAAATTTATGAGTGGTATGCTGTAAGACTTCAGCAAACTCTCATCAATCTTAAAAATCTTACAAATATAATAAAACTTAGCTAACTAATTAAAATATCCCTTTTATATCTTTAATCACTCCATAGGTCTACTACCAGTAACATTTATTGGGCTATTTGCTGAATAATTATCATGAATTTCTAGAAAAAATATAAAATATTTCACTTTTCTTCTCACACATACAGGAGCAGTTGACTGCTTTTTCAGAATGACATTTTTTTTGTAACTGCAGAAGAGGTTCTGCACAGGAAATGCCAGCAAAAGTAGAACCAAAGCCAACTGAGTTTTGGGTGTCGGGTGATGGGACAGGCTCCCTCACTCTCAGTCACACTTCTCCACCTTCTAATCCATTAATGCCTGTCATCCAAACTTGTGATTTGGCAACATTTCCATTTCTACTTGTCATGGATCTCTGAGTCCCTTTTGTCACATTTATATGCTAGCGTGAAACTGAGTCCTCTACCAAAGAAAGCTTCCCATGTTGCCCTGAACACAGGGTACTCATAGGATGGGTGCAATATAAAGCACCGACAGCAAAAGAAAGTTCACATCATCTCACTTCACTCACAATGTTCATGGTTCGCACTACATTCATTTCTCAAATGATTTATTATCAAGTTGACTTGAGCTAATATTAAAATCTCAATGAAAAAGGTACCTTTAAGTGCACTCCTACAAGTGAAAAGCAACAACAAAACTCTCATTTATAATCACTTATGATAAGGTGCCTTATCATATATCACTTATGATATATCCCCTTCAAGAAAATCATGTAAATTCGATGCTAATTGTATACTAGAGTATATTATACACCAGCAGACGTAGCACTCAAACAGTAACTATTAAATCACTGATGGTCAATGGTCCATGCAATGGATTCTACTGCTAGGTTAACCGAACCAGCATGCTCTCTCATGAGAAGGCGCTGCACCTTGGCTTACTGTTGACACTGGACAGCCATCTCTCAAGTGCACTGTTTTGAATTGATTATTACTATCTAACAGTAGAGGGAACTAATAAAAATGACTTCAGAATTTGAACCACACTACTTCTATCCCATTCACCCATGTTGATTAGAATTCATGAAAAATAAAACACTAGGTCTTGATGAGCATTTTACATTTCTAATTGCTAGAGAGCATAAATATAGCCCTGGCTCAGCAACTATGAAACAGCAACTGTGCAGAGCTAGAAGACCACTGTCTTTTTCCCAGGTTGGCAAGGGTATGGAAGGACACTGGGTGCTTGACACGTTCTCAGGGAAGAAATGGAAGTTGGAGGAGAAGAGGACAATTGAGAAAGAGGTGTGAATGCTCTCTGAGGCAGCACCAAGGAATTGCCAGGTGCCATCAACCAAGCCTTCTCTGGTAGAGTTCATCCCTTTAGGATTACACCTAAAATGAAATTAGCCTCCAAGAATTTAGCATAGTTTACACCTTTATTTGTAATTTCTATGACTGCACTTCACCAAAAAGCAGTCTGTTCCTATTAAAAGCTAGAACTCCAAGCTCAGGAATAGAAGAGAATACTAATAGTATAATGACCATCATCGTGTCATAATCATAATAAGGAATAACAAACACTTGCACAGCATTTATATACCAGCCCTGGACTAGGTGTTTCCCATCTCAACTGACGGTTCCTACAATTCCATGGACAGCTACGATTATCAGGCATTCTCACACAGATGAGAAAACTGAGGCATAGAGAGGTTAAGTGACTTACCCAAGATCATGCATTTGGCAAGTGCAGTGGGGTACATACCCAGGAAACCTGGTAGTGGAATTGACTCCAACCACACTCTGCTGCCTTTTCCAAAGAGAATCAAAAGAATCAGAGTTGGCAAGCATCTCATCCCATCATTTTACTCATTTAATAGAAAAATAAATGAACAAACAATAACCCATCCACATTTTACCTACAGCTCTTAAGTAGGGGACCCATATTGTGCAGCTAGCTGGGAGGAGATGAGAATGGATATGTGGTCCTAATCCTTAACCCAGAGCCTTTCCTGCTGGGCTGGACCAGCCCTTAGATCCTTCTCTCTCATCTGTACCTACAGTCAGTGCATCGACAAGGAAGGTCCTGATGTAAGAAGCAGAGAGACCTGCTCATTCACATTTTATGGGATCAGTACAACTAGGACAGAAAAATATAGAAAGATGACTGTGCCATATATATTACCTTAGATTGAGGCTTATGACTATTCCTTAATTCAAAAAAATATTTATTAAGCACGTCAAGCACTGTGTCAGGTACTGTTTTGTGAACACAACAGTCCCTCCTGCCATTGGTCTTTGTTCCAATAGAGAAGATAAACAGTAAATTAATGAATTAAACAAAATAATTGTACTGTAAATGTTGAGAAGAAAATAAATAGAAATCTGTAAAAGATATATCAGAAAAGAGCAAGAGGCTTGTTTTTAAAGAGAGAGTTTTGAGATAATTGATTTTGTCAGAACCAATGGTCCAATCATCCAGTATAGAATACACTAAATATAATTACATAAACTGATCATGTGGGGATAAGCATGCTTGACATGTTTCTTTACTATTTTCTTAAAGTTCCAAGTTAAAGTATTGTTTGTGGTGCTATTATATAGAAATCTGGATTGGGTGAACCTATTTGAATTTTAGAGGCAGGTTGCTTATGCCAGCAATGAGCAAACTATGGTAAGGAGATTCATATAAAGAATTATTTTTTATCGTGACTCATGCCTTTCTTTGGGTGTAACATGTTGGAAATGAACTAATGTACAAATAACCTTGATTATTTAAAAATAGGAAATGAGATACCTATAATTCAAAAATACTAATTAAATGCAATTTCAACCAGATTCTTGTATGATAATTTAAACGAAATACATGTCATTGTATTATTCTCTATAAGTGACAGAGAATTTTCCATTTCAGACTAAACATATATATTTTACTATTCTTTCATTCCAAGATAAGATTTCCCCTATCAATAGAAAAATTTCAAGACAAAATCATGATTGTCATTATTTAAAGAATGCCATATTATAGATTAAAACATTTAGCATAAAAAAAGATTGCAAGGCTTGTATAGTACATTTTTATGTTTAACGGAAAAAAGGTATTCTTTTCCCTGATACATTTCTAATATTATTTTTTTGGCAGAGTTTTTTCTTTTTTTAATAGAAAGCCCTTGTGTGAAATGTTTTTTGACAACTTTGAATCTGGTTATCTGTGTGCCTATGTTTCTGACAGGATAAAAGTACTGAGAGTGGTCCATGTAACACGCGGTGCTTCCCTTGTACTACCTTCTTTTCCTCTCTAGACCGTGTCAGTGTCTGTGTCTGTCCTCACACTGAGCTGCATTGCCTTGGATCGGTGGTATGCGATCTGTCACCCTTTGATGTTTAAGAGCACAGCCAAGCGGGCCCGGAACAGCATCGTCATCATCTGGATCGTGTCCTGCATCATAATGATCCCTCAGGCCATCGTCATGGAGTGCAGCACCATGCTCCCTGGCTTAGCCAATAAAACCACTCTCTTTACAGTCTGTGATGAGCACTGGGGCGGTAAGTCCATTGTGGCCCTTGCATTTATATGACAGCTGCAAATTGAAAATCTAATTTGCATAGCCCTTGTAAAGCTGGCCTCGTGTATTTTATTGGCATTTGTTAATATCGTTTATTTTATAACATGGTAGAACATAGTATTGTCTCAGGTGTCAGGTTCCCTAATGGGCTTCAAATACAACTGGATTTTTCATTTTAAAACCATGTCTGGCCTGGGAACATGGATGTCTTGCCCGTGGACCTATGCTGTTCTCTGAGTCAGATTAGCTACACACGTTTTCTCTATTCATAATATAGTAAACTGATACATTTTATCACTAGCATAATTATTTTCTGACTTAAGAATTACACTAATTATGAAATTATGAATCTTTTTTGGTTTCCCATCTGATATGTTCAGTGGTTAAATTTAAACAATCTAGTTAGGAGGCCTTATGCTCCTTTGGTTCAAAACTCTCAGCAACAGTCTTTGAGGTTTTCCTGTAATAGTGGAAACACCTTTATCAATGCCTAGTGGTGGCACAAATCTGGACACAGCAAAGGATGAAAGAAAATAAAATAATCCTGCATTTCAACACTAGTTACAAAATTATCACACAGAATTTAAAGGAAACAATCTGTTCTCTTCTGGGTAAATATATTACAATGGCTCATATTTAAACTGTAAACATTAGGAAAGCATTTGTTTACTGGAAAGATGTATCAACAGAGGCAGTGCACGCCAAGGATTGTTCATGGACCTGGTATTTTCAAGCATATGAATCTCTGAATTCATGTTAATTCCTACCTTGATTCTTTTATTGGAACACTGAAAAGAGGAAAATCAGGAACTGAAAAATTAGGCATATGTTTCCACTGCAGCAAGATAAAACTCAAAAGACACTAAGATTATTCCATATGTTATCCAAAGACCTATAATAATTAAAATTTCAAAATTTGCTTTATCTATTACTGTAAATATTAAATACTCCTTTTAAAAATTGAGATTTATCCTTTCTTTCAATTGCAATTCTTTTGCTGTATTTCTTTCTGTATCTTCTTCAGTTTTTCCCAAGTTTCCCCATTAACAATGAAGACAAAACCAAAATGAGTAGAAAGTTCCAGAATGATAGAAATATTTCTTAAGTGTCTTCGGTCCCATTTATTTAATGTTCAAACAACATCTTGAGTATTTAGGATATGCCAGAAATTGTGCCAACCTGAAGAGAAATAGACTCTGCCCAAGGGAACCCGTTGTATATAACGAGGCTGAAATGCAAATAAATAAAGGTTTATAGTGTGATTAGTATTTTAATATACTTATATACAAAGTGCTAGGAGCACAAGTGAGAGGACAGACTCAGTCCTGGCCATGTGAACAAAAGTTTATAAGGACCTGCTAACATTTCAGCAAAGCATTAAAGATGAGCAGGGAGGAAGCTCAAGGGGCAGTTCATTTGCTCAGGGTTTGAACTCTGTTCTCTCAGAATGAACTTGTTTTGCCTTTTGATTTGACTATGCCTTAATGTTTAAGTATCTCACTTATTTTCAGTTTAAGAAAGACTTTAAAAATGTGGAGATTCACTAGCATGAGTGTGATTCTCTTTCAATGTACAATTTAATAATTTGACCAATTAAATGATGATAATCTATCAAAAAAAAAAAATGAGCAGGGCTTTTCCAGACAAGGAAGAGGGAAAAGGGTGTCCTAGGAAGCAGGAAAACTCACACAATGGGCACCATTCCTTGAAGAAGAAAGGAAGAGAGTCCAAACTTGTAGCTTCTGGAATGCAGTCTAAAGAACTGTGTTTGGGAAAAGGTGGGCTGGGAGCCAAATATGACATATCTCTTATTATTATCTAATTCCTATGCAATGAGTTATATTTGGAAAAGAGCCTAAAGATCTCTTGATCAGAATGCTTAGTTAATCATGATGAAACTGAACCATAAATTAAATTATTTGCTCAATATTATGAAGCACATTTAAATATAAGTGTTACCAAACCCGGGTTTGGCTGCTCGTCACTCAGAAGTCAATACTCAAGAGGCAAGTGTCAGTAGAAAGGAAAGGTGTGTTAATCAGAAAAGCTGGCAATCTGGGGAGAAGGTGGACTCATGTCCTGAGACCACCTCCAAAGATTCTGCTCAGCCCTGACAGTTTTTGAAGGGAAAAAAGGGAGAAGAATCTCAGTGTATCATCTAGGCAGGAGTTTGGATTCTGCATCATTCTCCATTGAGTGTAGGCTGGCTGACTCTCTCTTCTTTATCTTGCCCATGTGGGCTGCCTGCAGGATTGCTAAGGGGGCTGTTGGGGGTAGAGAGCTAGTCATTCTTTAACTATTTAATTCTTCATTCTTACTTCTTTTAATCTAGGTAAAGAATCCACAGGTTAGACAAGGCACCGTGTGTGTTCAGGAGAGCATAAGTCAGGAGTTAGTTTCAATTGCCTAGTGATCTCATTCCTATAATTAGATTCTTTTAAGGTTAGAGGGGAACAGAAATGGGCAAACAGGAAAGGTGCAAAAGAGCTGCTTTCAGAAGCTTCCAACTCACAAGCTGGGATTCTTTAAGTTTACGGAGATGGTAATTAGATTAAAATTCCCACCTATTATTCAATATGTGTCAGTAGTATTTTCTCTAAAGTATTTGGGTAATTAATTTCATTTATAAGTCTGTGGACTGATTTTATAAACTTGTCCTTTTTTTAGTGTTGCCCTGAATGATCAAGTTGCATTAACTCCCATGAGCAAAAGGATTGCAGAACTAGGGAATCCTGTTAGTCATCATGATTAAGTAAATAGCTGCATCATTTTCTAATTAACTTTGAGCAACAGATATAAATATATAAAAGGCATCCCAACCTCTCACATTTTATTACTTAACTATAGAAGGGATATTTTCCTTAAAAAAAAGAAATTATTGTCAAATACCTAAAAATCTAAACTCAGTCTTCAGAAGTCATTTAGCAAAGCTATTTGAAAGTGATTTTATATTAGCATAAAATTACTTAAAATGATTTTAAAAGCTAAGTGATGCTGAATTGAGTTGATCATCCACAAAATCAAGCAATAAAATCTGTGACATTAGTTTTTCGTATATTAAATGAAATTATCAGTAACTTCATGTTCTTAAGAAGAATATGAAAAATTAAAAGCAGGTTCTTATTATTCTGCTCATTAGACATTTAGTTTATTTTAATGATTTTTACATTAGCATAAGCTTTGTTAATATAAGTTATTTATAAATCTAGGTTTAACTTAAAATTTTAAAGCTTGGACATATATGTGATAGTCACAACTTAAAATCACCATAGACAAATATATTTTACAGGGTTAGCTCTCTAAAGTTCAAACCTTTTGAAAGTCCATTTAGTCCCATTTTTAAAAAATTTGTTGTGAAATATCTTTTATTTGCTATTAACTCATAAACTGATTTCTTATCTTTATCCTAAGTTAAATCAATGATTTGGTTATAAAAGTAAACAGAGATATCATTATGGTCCTACAACCAATATTACAATGTGGAAAGAGTCAGTAAACTATGTGGTCACTTGATTCATATCTATCAAATAACTTTTGGGAAAGTCTTGCAAATGCTGTCTCGCTCATGGTGCAAAATAACTGAGAACTCCGTCTTACTGGAAATAAGACCACAGATATGTAATATTTTATGGATACATTACTTCTGCAACTCATTATGTTGATCATTGCCTATGGCTTGTTCAAAAAAAGACCACAAACCATTCAGTTCTTGGCAGACACACTTGACACTCAAAAACAAATAAAATGTGTTAATATTTATTTTAATGATGTTTAAATTATGTTTTTGTGTATGCTTACTGTTTGCATCAATCACATCCATTCACACTTCTGAAAGTTTAAAATTCTTCCAGAATTATAACCATACATTCTTGATTGCTTGGTTTGTAAATGCATAGTTTCACAGGATAGATCCTATTGGAAGAAATTAACTGTCTTTTCCCACTCAATCCAAGATATGTTTTACTAGTAATTCATCCAACTTTTAATGAGCATGTACTGTTTGTCAAACATTGTTTTGGATGCCGGGGATTTATAATCTCCCTCCTCTTGGATTGTACTGCCAAATTATTCTTTGGTGGTCTGAAAAATAATAATAATAGTGGAGCCCTTCCTTATATTCAAGCTAATTATGGTATCTGGCCTATTATGAGATTTGGAAAGTATATACATATGTGTGTTTATTAATAGGAACATTTATTGAAAACACTTATTAGGGAGAAGATAATAAAATATATTACAGATTCAGATAAACTTTTATGGATACATGAACTTGGAAAAGACTCTCCAAATTGAATATTTGGAAAATTATATTTAACTTAATTTTCCATTGAATCCTTGAGAGGTATAACAAGAAGGAGAAAATGTTTGTAATTTTTAGGTAATTATATTAACATGTTCACTCAACAATGGACCTTAACTCACCTAAGAGAAGTTAAGCTTTATCTATCTAATACCTGACATTTTTCTTTAATCTCTGATTTCAAAGACTAAAGAAAGATCCATATTTACTCCTTATTTGTTGGTTTGATATACATACAATAATGTATGCAGATTATGCCTATTCATCCGTTGAGTAGAGACACGAAATTTTAACGGTTGTCAATCTTTAAAATGCTGTTTTCTAATTTAGGGAATGCTTAAGTGAACAAATTTCATGTAGCTACTGTCTAGACATATGTCTTAAAATATATTAAATATATTGCTTATCAAGTGTAGAGAAACTTCAAAGATAGTTTCAACACATATAATTTAAACTTTCAATGGCATTTCTGGGTTTTCAATTAGCTTAGACTCTAAGCATGAAATGAGGAATCTAAGACGATCATGTTTCCCCAATTATCTATAATAATCTCTTTATTAAAACAATCTATCTTAGCCTGCAAGTGTAATTTTGCTTGATCAATTTTTCTCTATGTTGGTGTTCATTATCATAATATGCATTTACCAGCCAATTACATATTTTTCTAACTATTTATAAATATACTGGTTGCAGAATGAGCTTTCTTTCCCGTCTAAAACTCCAGACTGTTATCACAGCGATGGTATCCATCTCTGCAGTTTAAAAATAAATGACCTACCAAATCTACCTTTCTCCACTCACTCAATTTAATTGTCTGATGCAGACATCAGGGATTCACAGGTATGTAAGCTTTAAAGGTATATTTTTTTTGTGGGAAGCTTATACGACATTTTCTTCAAAACAAATAGAAGTTCAAAGCCACTCAGGTGCCTGGGAAGTGCCGAGGTCACTCTCCAGCTCCTTTGAAATTGGCTCTGCAAATGCTGCATGGCACTTTGAATGCTGCGGCACTTCAAAGGGAAAGACTGTTTGCTATTCCTCCAGTCAGGCTGCTCAGATTCTATCACTTTTTATGTAACTGGCTTGTTTTGCAGGACAAACTTGAAAGGAAGTTAGAAACTGAAGCTGATGAGCTAGATGTGAGCCACCTGGGCCCCAGAGAAGTTAAAAATGACACATCAAATTGGTCTTTTAGACCTCCTGGTAGCACACACACCCTGCTGTGTGCTCTAAAGATTGTAGTGGAGAAAAACATCTGTCTGAGAAAGAAGACAATTTTAGGAGTAAAAATAAGAAGAATATTAAACTCTAGAAGACAAGACTATGAAATCAATACTGTGGAGGATATGTTGACTTACTAGAACATATACAAAATTCCTCTCTAAGTAAGTTGTGCATGTGTGTTAATGCATGTACTTTTAATAAAAATGAGATTTTTAGGGTTCTTTAAACTTAGATGTCAAACCAATATGGGTATTTTCTTTTTTTGATATCCACCTTACTTATCAGGGATAAGCACATATAGGATTGTAGTGATTGCTTATTTATCATTAATTCTATGTGCACAGGTAATACGTATCACATATTGATATGAGGATATGTTGAAAATATATTCAGTAAGAATTCAATGAATGTTCAATAATTGTTATCAGTCATTATGGTCATCATCATAATCATTATTGGTTAATCCTCAGTATAAATTGCTCTTACCACGTTTGACCACATAACCGAGTCTTCATGCTTCTACATATTTTCTGAAGTAACGAAAATAATAAAATCCATGAAAGTGATAGCATCATCCTTCCATAATAGTGTAGAACAAATCCCATTGCCAATATCAAAGTCAAAATAAGTTATGTAATATTTAGAATTTTAAAAAAAACCTTTGTTTTATTAGCATTTAGTTAGAATTGTATCAAATTATTGGCATTTAATGTCTATGGTATCCATTTAGGATATATTGTTTCTTGTTTTACATTTAAGTAAAAGTAGCTTGATCAGTGTGATATATTCAAATACTAGTTAAAGGGAAATATCCCTTAAAGTGTTTTAAAAGTCAGTAATGGATATATTTTAGAAAAATTAAAAATTAATATTAAGCCACAGTGCCAATTGATTGACTCCTTATAAATGCCCTAATCTGTGATATGTATTACCTGTGCACATAGAATTAATGACAAATAAGCAATCACTACAATCCTATATGTGCTTATGCCTGATAAGTAAGATGGATATCAAAAAAAAGAAAATACCCATATTGGTTTGAAATCTAATTTTAAAGAACCCTAAAAATCTCATTTTTATTAAAAGTACATGCATTAACACACGTGCACAACTTACTTAAAGAGGAATTTTGTATATGTCCTAGTAGGTCAATAAAAATAATCATTATCAAATGTTTGCTGTTTTAGTTTTCGAAAAAACGTTCTGAATTCATATTTGGAGATACAACTGGGAATATTTTCTCATCTCTCAAGAGAGAAATGAAGAGGAATCAACTTAGTTTACTGTCTTTTTCCATTTTAACAAAAACATCAGCAATTAAGTTTTGATTGAGTAATGTCCCTCCTTGCAAATCCAAGTGTTGGACAATCCAAATTAATTTTTATTGATTAAACAGATGTAATTAAGAGAAAAAAAGCTTTTTGATAAATGAATACTTGACTGGAAAGACTGTAGTAACACAAATTAAGAAATGGCTAATTGTTCTTCCTCTCTGAGTAGATTACATGACATTAAGACTTTGCATTTAGTACTTAAATGTAAGTAGTTAATATTATAAATCATTTTTCCCTTTTGTGTATATAACATAACAGTAAAATCATATAGAAGGTAATTTTGAAGGCAAAACATTGACAGATGTACTTTTAAAAAGTCTATGAATTATAATATTTTATTATTTTAACTTTCATTCCAGGTGAAATTTACCCCAAGATGTATCACATCTGTTTCTTTCTGGTGACCTACATGGCACCACTGTGTCTTATGGTGTTGGCCTATCTGCAAATATTTCGTAAACTCTGGTGCCGACAGGTAAGTAATTTCAAATAACTTTCTTTTGTTTTCCTTAGGATGTCCTTAAAAACAAAATTTAAGAGTGAATTGAACCAATATAATATGCTTAGCAAAGGATTGTGTGTTCTTCTAAAATAATGAGGCCTTAGTCATGAACATATGTCTAGGCATTTTTTAGGGTGATATTTAGGGAATGTTATTTATGAACTGCCTTAATGACTAAATTTTAAACCTCTGTGATTAATCGACTTGATTTTTGTCTAGGAATAATATTGTAAATTTTACTTTTTATGAGAAATAAATAAAAATTCCTTTAAAGTTTCCTGAGACTGTAAGTAAAGATGTATGTAATACATTTTTGATGAGATGTATGTAATACATTTTTATTATAGGGTTAAATCTCCAACTTCAAAGATCTTATTTTTTTTTCAGAACAGTAGAAGAGTCAAGCAGAATTGAGAATTTTAAAAATTGTTTATGCTAATTTGTACTGAAATGTTAGATAATTTTGCTATGTATTCATTCACTCATTTATTAACTCAGTGAATGTATTCATTCACTCAGTTATTCATTCATCAAATATTTATATTACTTTTGCATGCATGTCTGATAAAAAGCTAAATGTTCTAGTCTGTGTCATTGGTGAATTCATAGTCTAGAGGAAGGAAACAGTTCCAGGGCAAAAATCACCTTAAAAAATATAAGCAAAGGGGATCAGAGAAAAGCTTAGTGGAGGTGGATCTAATTCAGACCAGGAGACATTTAAGCTGAATCATGATGACTCTAAGGAAATCGACGAACATGTAAAGGTACAGACAAAGAATATAACTCAGCTTCTTGTACTTGTAAATTGTATCTTAAAATGCCACATTTCTCAGAAATGTATCTCTTTTTTCCTAAATTTATTGCCAGTATTTTGAGCTTATCAGGCTTGTGGAAAGCCACACACTTAGTCTGTTTGTTCTGACATATTTTATCCAACTGAAAGAATTTACTGGGCCACTTTACTCATTTAAAGGATTTCATAAACCTTTTATTTGGTTTTTGTCTGAGGATGAGTCTTAATCTGGGTCTTCTTCAACCCTTGTTATTCAAAGCGATTTTCAAGATCATCTTTTACTTCTTGTATATGAGCAATCAACCCCGTATGTCTCATAATTCCAAATGTTTTTGTTTCGTCTATTTTTGTAAAGAAGTCACTTCTTTTCTGACCTTATAAATGCATTCTGTTCCCCAGTCTTTGTAACTAAAATAACAAATGTGTATCACTGTAAACTATGAGTGGTGATTTTCCACATCGTAGGGATAGTTTCCTTAACAATCTCCACCTGGCCAGTGGGAGTGAATGACCAGAACTGATATAATACAGAAGTCAAAAACACAGACTCAAGATCCTGACTGCATGAGTTTAAATTCTAACCCTGCCATTTAACAGATGTGGGAGTTTTGTCAATTACTTAAATTTCTGTGCCAAGCAGGGGTGCATAGCATCTACCTCACACTTATTAGATGAATTAATTCAAGTGCCTCAAGCATGGAAAGTGCTCATTAAATAAAATATCATAATAGTATATGCTGTTATTTAGGCTTTCACCTCATTCTGCTTATATTTCTAAAATAATAAGCATGTGTTGAATTGATGTTTGTGACTACTTTCTTAGATAGATCTCTTTCATAGTACTTTTAAGTAACATGAAAATGACTTTTTATTTGTCTGTCTGCTCTAATCTACTAAGATGGAGACAGTACACACTAGCCTTGATCTTGTAGCCCTCCACCTAGTACATGCATAGCACATATCAGTTGCTTGATAAATACTTTATAAGAAAAAATTTAGTGGAAGAATAAGAGAAAGTGCTGGGAAAGTTTAGATAGAAGAGGAAAGAGAGGAATCCATTGCTCAGTTACTCAGAACAAAGTTCATAGAAAAATTAGAATTTGAAAAATTCTTGAAGAAGATAAAACTTTGATGAGCATGTAGGCATAAAGATAATTTAGATTGATATTTTGACTAAGAATATTCAGTGTTAAGTGCATTTCCTACTTCCATATTTTTACTGGGTAGTGTGCATTAAACATAAGAAATGCTTATATTTGCTTATTCATTTATTTACAGAATGACATAACTTTAAAATTTCTTGGGTGTACATAAATCTGTCTCGTTCATCATCATCTTCCCAACACTTAACATGTTACCTTGCACAAAAAAGTATTCAAAAAATGTTTGTTAAATAATTAGATAACTACCAAATCTCAACCAGTTTACTTCTTCATTATTTAAGCTTATAGTTCTCCATTTCTCAAACTCTAAAGTAAGCTCAAAATTGTATTGCAGGCTTAGAAATAATCCACATTCTTTTGATGAATTGTCCTGGTTAGTACAAACCACATGATCCAGAAGATTTGCAGTAAAATGCTTGGGCTGTGAAACTAAAAACATTTACAGACAGATTGCAATAGAAAACAGCAAGTTCATCTGAGTTCACTTTAGCAGCCACAATAAAGTAAATTAACCCCAAATGGTGATTATGTAGAATTCTGCTTGAGCAACTATCAAATTCCAACTGTTAATGTCTCTAAACAGAGTTCCAAGGCATTATGTATGCCATAGTCTACATCAAGTGAGCCATCAAACAGAGGGACTGTCTTATTTGCTTAAAATTACAGAGATGCAGGGAATCTGTTACATTCTTTGAAATATCTAAGTGTAAGATTATTAATGAGCAAAATGTCTGTCCTTGTCTGACTTTCTCAAGAATTTTAAACCTATGTTAGTGCAAGTTCATTAGCCTCATGCACAGTGAGGTGAAACAAACCGAAACTTTGGAGTTTGGAGCACAGAAAGTTTATGGCAAGGCCATGGAAGGAGATGGGTGGCTCATGGCCTACAAAGCCCCTGAACTCCCTGAAGCAAAACATTTTTAAAAGCCAGGTGAGGGAGGGGTGTCGCAGTGTATGTGATCAGCTTATGTACAATTCTCTGATTGGCTGATGGTGAGGTAACAGGGTGGTGTCACAAAGCTTAACATTACAGTCCTTATCCATAGACTCCAGGAGGCCTGGGGCTATGTGCTCATGATTATCAAGTAGTTAACTTCTTCCATTTGGTGGGGGTTTTTCACATCTGTAAAACAACTCAGGATATGGGGGAAAGGCCTGTCCCTAGAAGGCCCCATAGGGTCCTGCTTGGTTACAATGAAAAGAATTGTCCAATGTTTTGCTCTAATCAAAGACTTAAATATTCTCTTTATTTGACAATGTGTCTCAGAGGACTCATTCAGTCTGGAAATTCTACAGGATCTTCTCTAGAACTCCTCTTTTTAAGGCTTACTAAATCTTAACTCTTTTGTACCTGACAGAATTTTTTCAGTTCTAACTCTCAAATAATTCAACACTTCAATCTTACTCATTATATGAACTCACATTAATTCATTCCACAAATATTTATTGACCACCTACTATGTGTCTGGGACTGTGTGAGGAGCTGGGGATGAACTGTACTGATACTTGAGTCTGGAACTAAATTTCAATTTTCCAAAGACTAAAACTTTGAAAGAACTTCCTTGTTCCAATTTTTATCACATGCTCATCTACTGCCCTTTATTCTTCAACATTCTTCAAAAAGAACTTAAAATAATTAACATTAGATGATAACAAGTCAGTTTAGTATGAGAAAATAAACAGCAAATTGTAATTGCAGAGGCAGAATCAAATGGCAGTAACACAAGTTCACACAGAGAGATAAAAGTAACTATGTAGGTAAATATAGAAGAGAGTATAAATATATTTTTGTTTGAAATTCTTTTCTTCTCCTATTTGACTTGAGATAATATTGTAAAGCAATAATTATAAAACTGTGAATCTTCATCTTATAATGTATAAAGATGTAATTCAAAGAAAGGAGGAGAGAATGAAGCTATATTGAAGCAAAGATTTTGTATACTATTGAAATTAAGTTGGCATTAATCTAAACAGATTAAGTTGTTAATTATAATCCTCAGGGCAACCACTAAAAAAATAACTCAAAAAAATGTAGTGAAAAAAACAACAAAAATAAAATGCTATACTAGAAAATATCTGTTTAGCACAAAATAAAGAAGCAATGGAGGAATAGAGGAACAAAATAGAAACTATATATATATATATATATATTTGTATATATATATATGCACACATATATAAACAAACAGCAAAGGGAGACATGTAAATTACACCTTCTCAATAGTTACATTAAATGTAAATGAATGAAACACTCTAGAGGTTGGCAGAATAGATAAAACAAACAACAAACAAACAAAAAAAACCTGATTCAACTGTATGATGTCTACAAAAAGCACACCTCATATTCAAAGACACAAATAGATTAAATGTAAAATAATGAAAAAGAGGTACTATGCAAACAGTAACCAAAGGAAAGCTGAAGTAGCTCTACTAATATCAGACAAAAGAAACGTTAATAAAAAGTGTTACTATGGGTAAAGAGGGATATTTCAAATGATAAATCATTCCATCAAGAAGATATAAAAATGCTAAACCTATATGCAGTTAACAACTGAATTCCACAGTACAGGAAGCAACAACTAGAAGAATTAGGTGGAGAAACAGACAATTCAATATTAATAATTGAAAACTTCAACACTCATCTTTCAGTCATGGATAGAAAAACTAGGCAGAACATTAACAATGACATAGAAGACTTGAAGAAAACTATCAACCAACTAAACCTAATATATCTATGCGGTACCTCTTCAAAAGTAGCAGAATACATATTCATCTCAAATGCACATGGAATAGTCTTCAGGTTACATCTTATAATAGTCTATAAAGCAAGCCTCATAGCATTTTAAGTGATTGAAATAATAAAAATGTAAATTCTCTTGCTATGAGACAAAATAGTTATGATCCTGATCATAAGAACTTAGCATGTGCATCTAAATTCTAAAAGAGAAGTACCAAGGTGGAAAAAAAAGTTGTCAGGGAGTGATAAAGTTAAAAGATTGCTATTATTTTGAATGGGATTTATTGCATTAAATCTATAGATCAATTTGGGGAAATTGACATATTAACAATATTAAATCTTATAATCCATGAACATGGTATATCTCCTCATTTATTTAGGTCTTCTTTAATAGCTCTTAGCAATTTTCATAATTTAAGTACACATAATTTGTCCACATTTTGTTAAATATATTCTTAGAATACATGTTTTGCTATTGAAATGTGTTATTTTCAATTTAAATTTAGAATCATTTATTGCTAATATATAGAAATACAGTTGATTTTGTTTATTGATTTAGGGTCCTACATATTGCTAAATTCATATGTTTAGTTCTAGTGGCATTTTTGTAGATTCCTTAAGACTTTCTTCATAAGCAATAATGTCTTCTCAATAGAAGCAATCTATATGCCTTTTATTTATTTTTCTTTTCTTCCTGTACTGGTTAGGATCTCCAGTACAATGTTGAGTAGGAGTGTTGAGAGAAATCTTCGTTGGCTTGTTACCAATCTTAGAAGAAAGTGTTCATCTTTCATGTTAAGTAGGATGATACCTTAAAGACTTTTCATGGATGCCTTTTATCAGGTTGAGAAAGATTCTCTCTATTACTAATTTACATGCAAGGGTGTTAAAGTTTTCAAATGCTTTTCCTTTCTCTATTGACATGATCATAGTTTTTTCTGTTAATATGATAAATTACCTTGATTGATGTTTTTAAATGTTAAACCATTACTGCATTGCTGGAATAAATCTGCTTTTTTGAGCAAAATTTATTATCCTTTTATTTATTGTTGGATTTGGTTTGATATATATATTTTGGGGAATTTTCATCTCTATTCATGTGAGATATTTGGTCAGTGGTTTTCTTTTGTTCTCATGTCTTTATCAGGGTTACTGACTTCATTAAAATTCATTGTAATATTATCTTTTCTTTGAATTTCAGAAAGAGTCTAAATAAGATAGATATTATTCATTCTTTATGGTTTGGTTGAATACTACATCAATGAACCTATCTGGGCCTAAGTTTTTTTGTTTTGTTTTGTTTTGTTTTTTGTAACAGGGTTTGTAAAGACACAGTCAGTTTTGGTTATCTTTTTTTTCATGGTGTTTATCCATTTCATTTAAGTTCATTGAGTTTGCAAATTTACTGGCTGTTCATAATATTCTCTCATCCCCTTTTTAATGTTTGCAGCACATTTGCTTATCTTGGCCACAAAGACTTCTTCAGACAGGGCAGGTTTCAAGGTACATCATCTACCTGATAGTTCAAATTCATAACTGTGATAATACCTCTTCCAGGATGTATTTTCACCTCAAAGGTGATTTTAAAGTTTATTTATGATATTGGAATAAAAGCAGTGTGTGTGTGTGTGTGTGTGTGTGTGTGTGTGTGTGTGTGTGCGCTGTGTGTCCTGTGCATTGTGTGTCTGAGTGTAAGGGTGTGTGTTGTGTGTGTTTGTGTATGTGTGTGTTGTGTGTGTGTGTTTGTATAGTGTGTGTTGTGTGTGTGTGTGTGTGTGTGTGTGTGCTTTCCACAGTCTGGGATTTTTGAATGCCCGCTGAGATGACAAGGAAAAGACCTTCTCACATGGACAGTCCCATAGCCTGGATCTCTCAAAAGCCCTTTTGTATGACTATTATTGCTTTTATGTAACTAGGCATGTGTTAAAAAATTTGCTAACTTCCATATCAGATTGTGTTGAAGTTTATAAATGGAAATGGTGCATCACAATGGGAAAAAATGAACTTTGCAATCAGACGGACCTGAGTGCAAATTCTGGCTTGTCACTTATTAAAGATATAGACTTGGATATTTTATTTAATACTTCTCAATGTCTGCTTGAACATCTGTAGAATGGGATTTACAATAACCTATTTTTAAGAATGCATTAATGATGACTCCAGATTGTGCATCATTCCTGGTGCTCAGTTAAAATTAGTAATTTCTACTGATACTATGCTGACTTTCTCTAGACATACACAAATTATTGATGGGGATTATTGTATGTCTCTTCACAATGAGTGCAGGATTAACCATCTTCTATTTAGATCATCATCTAAGAGGGGACATCATTTCTGCTTTTTTTTTTTTTTTTTATGATTGCAGGAACAATAGTTATGCTCCCTGTGGCAGTTTCTCTTTATGGGAACTCTTTCTGATGGTTGCAGAAGTCATCAGATGCAGGATATTGATTTTTTTCCTCAGGGGAGCATTGAATAACAGATTGCTTAAGTTTAAATGATCTCTTAGAGATCATTTAGGAAACAGTTCAAGGCCATTTAGCAGACATTAATAGGGTTACTCATTTTACAGTTTTTCTGGAAATTTCCAACATCCTTTGCAGCTTCTCCTCAATTATTTTTAAAAATGACTATCTATAAAAAAGACTCATAGAAGAGGAAGGAGTCTCAATCAATAGATAAGAAGATTGAGTGAGGCCACCACGATGTGAAAAGGTCAGCCGACATGGCAGGACATACAGAATCCGAAGAGAAATCGTTTATCAGGTGTTTTTCAATTTAAGGGCAGGTTTTCCTTAACTTCATTTGCTTCTTTTTGAGAGAGAATAGTTATATTCAAAAGGAGCGCCATAATTAATTAATTATCATTAATTCATCTGTGTGGAAATCAAAGTAAAATTCTGTTCTCAAATTAAAGATTATCTAACAGACTTGGATCTTGTTATGGATAAAGCAACAGAATCCATCCAACATCCACTGTGAGAGACCCATCGGTCTGTTCTGGCTTGCAGCACAGAGATAAAAGCAACAGCTGAATAATCTTAATAGAACTAGGATGTGCTTATGGTGTGCTTGTTGGCACATTTTACTCTTAAAAAATTACACATGCTGAATTTTATTGTTTTGCTCACTAAACCCTATCAATCTTCATGAGCTTATAATTAAGACAATATTATACTTGGAGGGACTCCCTGCTATTATCAAATAATTTTGAAAAGAAGTGGAAAAGTACAAGTTGTGTAACTGTTGTTACAAATTGCAGCTATTTGAAACGTTCATGGAAGACCACAAGGGATATTCAAGGCTTTTATGTGCATTTTAAAGGGTCGGTCCACAAAATTGCCTTCAAGCAATTTTGTAACAACAAATGATAAGCAACAGAGAATATTTTATTTTATTTTTATTCCTTTTATTCAAAGGTCTGCCTTAACCAAACCTGAGAATCAGAAAACCTAATAAAAAGCAATAGGTAGTTAAGTCCTATCTCTCCATCTGGCAGCAGGTGGCAGTATTGATGCATGAAAAACTATGCAGGTTACTTTGGCAATTATCTGTTAGGTTTTCTTTCTGTTTCAACTCTAGGTATCTGAGCTGAATCAAAATTCCTAGTAAGAGCTCTTCTTCCCCAGTTTTCAGTTCTCTCTCTTTTAAATTAAGAAGGGTTTTTTTGGTTTCATATTTTTTTAGAGTAGTTATAAGTTCACAGAAAAATCAAGTGGAAGGTACAGAGATTTCCCATCTCTCTCCAACCTCCATTCATGAACAGCCTCCCCATTATCAGCATTCCCTACCAGACTGATACATTTGTTAAAACTGATGAACCTACATTGATTCATCATAGTCACCGGAAGTTCACAGTTTACTTTATGGTTCACTCTTGATGTTGTACCTTCTATGGGTTTGGATGGTGTATTCAAATACATTGTATAATGTGTAATGACAGGTATCCATCATTATGGTATCATGAAGAGTAGTATTTTCCCTGCCCTAAAAATCCTCTGTGCTATGCCTATTCATCCCTCCCCCCATTACCCCTGGCAACCACTGATCATTCTTCTGTCTCCATTGTTTTATCTTTTCCAGGATAGCATATAGTTGGAATCTTATAATAGGTAGCCTTCTCAGATTGGCTTCTTTCACTTAGTAATATGCATTTAAGTTTCCTCTCTATTTTTTCATGGCTTGATAGCTCATTTCTTTTTAGTGTTGAATATTATTCCTTTGAGTGGACAACTTCTCTTTTTATAAAGAGATATCATTTCCATTTGCAGCTCTCTTTAGACCTCAACAAAATGGTGATGTTGCAACTTTTTTTTTCCACCCAGACTCCTATTTGGCACTCGGCTGTATTACTCAAGAACACAGTCCACTCAGCAAACGGTCTGGGGAAAGAGGCTCGCAAACCTCCTAGGCCTCGGGTGTCTGGGATACTCTCCTTACTGTGTCTTCCAATTACTCCTCCAAAGTGGAACTTTCCTAAATCAGATAACAATAAAGGGTATCCGCTCCTTTCAGATTCCTGGAACATCATCTGTAGTTCAGAGAAAATGGAAGGCCCTGCAGCCTCTTTCACAGCCTCGGGGGCCAGGACAGCAGACCAAATCCAGGATTAGCTCTGTGGCCGCTGAAATAAAGCAGATCCGAGCCAGACGGAAAACAGCCCGGATGCTGATGGTTGTGCTTTTGGTGTTTGCAATTTGCTATCTACCAATTAGCATCCTCAATGTGCTAAAGAGGTAAAGTTCACTTATTATTTGAAAATGAAGAGATCAGCCATTTTTCTTGGTTCTTAATTAAGGACTTTTTTTAAGCCAGAGAAAAATGGAAACCATCTGCCTAGATAGCTTGCCGGGCCAGATAACTCAATGTGTTGTTGTTACCAGCAGGTAGGGAACACAGTTTTTTAGAGCTCTGGGATTTTAAATGCTCTTATCCATGCAAATTCTCTATTGAATGGCAGACATAAAACAGATGTTCCTCTGACCTCTTCAAGCTAATTGCTAAGCCTTAGATGCAGAAGAAGTTCTAATGCAAAAAACTCATTTACAGCTCGGAGCTCTTTTTTGATCAGAACAAATGGGTTTTCCAAACTTTGTTCTCAAAGACATAGGAAACGGTGACAGAACTTTATCTAAAGGATAAAAAGAGATAAGAATTTTGTTAGCATTCTAATTATACTTAAAAAGTGCATTTGTGAGCACACACACAAACAAATGGAATCACAGCACATACTGTGTTTTGAATGTTTAAATAGAAAGAAAGAAAATTCATTTCCTGACATCATTGAATCAAGTTTAGCATGAATATTAATAAAAATCAGTACAAAAGTTTTCAGTGAGAGAAGGTATGCTATTTGTAATGCTGCAGAGACACTATTAAGTTCAAACAACCAACATGATCAACCAATGCAGGGGCAGTGGTACCCAGGAACCTTCTGGCCAACCATCTTTACTGGGAATTATCGTAATAGTTGCACAGAGACTGGTCCCAAGGTAATACTAATTCTGTTTATCAGAGGCTTCGAAATAAAACTAGGATTTCTTCTCTCATTTTTCCTGGATCCAGAGTCAATATCCTATTCCTCATGGCTGGGGACTCTGAAGAGAGGCAGCTTTGGCTGGAATCACACAGTCTAAAGGTGGTATAACCAGCTGCAAAGATTTGTCATTCTCTTTGGGGCCTTGTTTTTGATTGTTTAATGACTTTTTCTTTTTCTTTTTTTTTTTTTACTTCTTTAAAATAATTTTTATTGAAGTAATGTTGATTTACAATGTTGTATTCATTTCTGCTGTATAGCAAAGTGATTCAGTTATACATATATCTATTCTTAATGACTTTTTCAATGGAAAAGAAAGAGAAAATGAACTTTTGTTCAGCAATGTTGTTTAGTACAGACACAGCCTTAGTACAGACACACACACAGACACACATATAAGATATGTGGCAGCTTGGGTCCTTCAGATGTATACTGGCTCACAGGAAAATGAAAGCAACTTTGCCCTCCATATTTTTTCATAATTCCTTTCTTATTTTTCTTGCCCACAGAAATCCCATACAAATGTATTCTAGTCTGATGATAGATGATGATTTTTGCTCTTAAGAACCTTGGAAACATGCTAGGATACTGCATAGGTTCTCTCCTTTTTTTTTTTGTACTTTTATTTTAGTCAATCTAAACTCAATGAAATTTGGATTTACTGCTCTCTGGATGACTCATTTGGATTTCCTGTATCTCAACACTTGTACCTTCCCTTTAGCTGGTTCCAAATACCTACTTCTCCATAATATTTCTCTATTCTCCTGACTTACAGACCTCCCTTTCCAAGGAAAATAAATGGCTTTCTAAGGAGAAAGTCCATGTTAAATTTAAAATAGTTTCCATTTTTTGAGTCTTCTGCTCTTTGTCACAAAATAAAAATTTCAAAATAACCTTGAAAATTGTTTTGCTCTTTATCACACATATTTTCTTCAAATACTTATCTCTGTTTGCCCTTGCATTTTAGGCTCGTGTTTTCTTTCTCTTACAAATAAAGTCCTAAATTCTTTTCTTTGAAACTTAGTGTTTTGTCTGACTAGTCAAAACCAACTTCTTTAAAGCAGGTCTGGTTTTCTAGGATTTCAAAGATACATTGTGGTAGAGGGTCATAACATATTAATTCTATTTATCCATGTTGTCTTACTATATATTATATTTTTGTAAAACTGTAGTACTCCATAGAACACCACTTTATTCTGGCAACATATTTCTATCACAGGCACAAATTCCACAATCAGTGATGGACCCTCTGGCAGGAAATGCATTATAATCTTCAGCCTATACGTTTATTGGGTAGTTGCAAGTTGCCTGCTGTTGTCTAGTGAATACAATTTGATAAATGGGTATTTTGAAGTACAGAACAAATCTTAAAAATGACCTTTAAGGAGATAATAATAACATATTTTTCAGAGTTTAAAATAATAAAAAAAAAATTAAAACTCATGAACTTTAAGAAATTACCAGAATTTTGCCTATTGAAAACTAGCTCTTCTCTGCATATAAAGAAATCCCAGAAGCCAAATTTCAGCAAGGCTGTAAGATTGGAGTTGAAGAAATGTAATATTGATCAATGCACAAATGAAAGTAGGAAGTAGTGCTTACAGACTGCAATTTAGAAGTGCTTTTGTACATGCTGCTATGCTTAAAGTAGATAAGCAACAAGGACCTACTGTATAGCACAGGGAACTCTGCTCAATATTCTGTAATAACCTAATCAGGAAAAGAACTAGAAAAAAGCATAGTATTCAGTATATGTATAACTGAATTACTTTGTTGTACACCTGAAACTAACACAATATTGTTAATCAACTATACTCCAGTGTTAAATAAATAAATAAATAAAATGCACGCAAAATGAAATAGTAACAAAAGCTGCTCCATTGTGTTTAGAAACAAAATGAAAGAAGGTAGATAGATATATATTCAACCTTTGTATTCTTATTGCTGTTGTTTACAGGAGAGACCTTCTCTGACCTGATTTGGCTTTTGATTTACTAATTGTGCCTTGGAGGTGCCCTTCAGGTACTGAAGTTATTCTAGCCCCACTGTGTGCCCTAAACCTACAAGTGGTCTGTCCTGCAGGGCAGCACTGGAGTCGGGGAACTGCCACCAAGGGCTGTGTTCACCCTTGAATTTAATTATTTAAAAGGTACTTTCCAGAATCGCACTGCATTTCATGTTACTGTTTCTTTTCCTACAGAGTATTTGGGATGTTTACCCACACGGAAGACAGAGAGACTGTATATGCCTGGTTTACCTTTTCACACTGGCTTGTATATGCCAATAGTGCTGCGAACCCAATTATTTATAATTTTCTCAGTGGTGAGTTTTCAACTGTTTCTTCTGTACAAACCACAGGCCAGGGTGAGGGATCGATGACCAGAAGGTCTGAACACTTTTGAACGGTATGAAGATATTAGTTGTGATACAGTGAGAGTATTTTTCCCTGATCTGACTGGTCTTGAGTTTTTTCCCTTATAAGAGGGAACATGTGTTACCTAACGCATCAGAAAAAATTATCTAAGTAACTTTTTCCATAAAATTTAGAAGAAAATTTGAAATAGGAGGAAGGTGAGAACAGTGAGAACTGAATAAGAGAATCTTGCTTGTCATACATTAAACTTATGATTTATAAAGATGTAAAATCATTTTATCTGAAAATAAAACAGCCTTGCTTGTATCATTTCCTTTGACAACATTTGTAGCCTAATTGAAATGGAATTGGAGCCTTTCCACTTTTAGGTATTTCTATGTATTTACAATTCTCTTATGGGTAACATCTCTTGGGTTTATCTCAAGATTTCTCACTGACCATAAAAAAAATTACATTCCTCTAAATAACACATAAGCTAAATGAACCACACATACACACCTCTGCAATTGATTTCACCCATCTGTTTATGGGATCAATATAATTATAAAAATCATTTAACTAAATATTGTTTTATATACCAACATTTTGCCTAATTGTTTTAGAATTGTGTTTTAATTAGCTATATCTTTACATTGTCTTCTTTCCAACCGGTTAGCTATTTCTTTTTTTTAAAAATTAATTTATTATTTATTTATTTATTTTTGGCTGCGTTGGGTCTTCGTTGCTGCGTGCGGGCTTTCTTTTTATTTGAGGCAAGCGGGGGCCACTCTTCGTCGCGGTGTGCAGGCCTCTCATTAAGGTGGCTTCTCTTGTTGCAGAGCACGGGCTCTGGGTGTGCAGGCTTCAATAGTTGTGGCTTGTGGGCTCTAGAGCACAGGCTCAGTTGTTGTGGCACATGGGCTTAGTTGCTTCGCGGCATGTGTGATCTTCCCAGACCAGGGCTCGAACCCATGTCCCCTGCATTGGCAGGCGGATTCTTAACCACTATGCCACCAGGGAAGCCTGGCTATTTCTTTTTTATTTCCATCTCCAAATATATGATGATTTTATATGGAAGAATAAGCAATTCATTTTATTGCATGCTGAATAAAGTGTGTGCATTTTCTAACTTCACCTTTGGCCTTCCAGGTTATATGGGTTATTAAAAAAGACAACCAATTAGGCTTTTTGTTTTAAATAACTTTTTGTTTTTCAGTCATGGCATGTACCCTCTATATACCTGCTTTATTTCACCTTTTGGTGAATCAGGTGGTGTATATGTGAGGGGTGGTTTGTATTCAGTTGCCCCTTTTCATGCCTTCCCCTGACACATTCAACCCCAGTCTCCAAAATAAAGACTACATTCAGACTGGGATAAGCAGAGACCACCACCCCAGTGCTGTTTGAAGGAAGAAGGGCCTGAGGAGCTGTGGCTAAAAAAGCAGTGGGGAAACACTTGCCCTGGGCTTAGGGATGACTAAGGCCCTGAGCTTGTACTAAACAGGGAAAATCTATTAGAGGGTCGTAGGGAGAATTATCTGAAGTAGAAGCCACAGAACCAAGTCAAAGTGCCATGATGGGGGTTAAGATGAGGCAAGAAGGCAGCTGATAATCAGTGGGCACCAATTTTAATCACTCAACAACCCAGGTAGGTAATCAAAGCTCAGAGAAAAGAACTGGTGATTTCCAACACTGCCATTTACCCTTAGAGGCTTAAGAGGTCAGTGTTTCATCCTTATCCTTCTCCAATGTCACATCAATAATTTAAAGATAAAGAAAAACTTCTAAAGTTGTTTATTTTTCTTTCAGTTTGTCCTGCCTTATGCAGATTATGAAACGTTAGAAATTTTCTAGATATTTTGTTGAACTGACTGTGTCAATAGAACAGTTTCTTCAGAGTACAATGCAGGGATAATTTCTGTGTACGTCTGGCCATGTATAACTTAGGTTTCATCATTTTTTAAATCGTTAAATATCTCTGGGTAGCTTTCTGCTGATACTCAGCTTTACTATAGTTATCTAGTTAACAATAACCCACATTCACAAGTATAGGAGGTTTGCCTCTAAAGGCATGAAACAAACTCCAAACATTGGGCATGAAAAGCAGCCTCACTATTTTATGGAAATGTGTCAGTGTTTCAAGAGTGTACCAAGCATTATTTCATTCTTTTTTATGGCTGAGTAATATTCCATTGTATATATTTGCAGCAAGATGGATGGACCTAAAGATTATCATACTAAGTAAAGTGAGACAGAGAAAGACAAATATCATATGATATCACTTATATGTGGAATCTAAAAAAAGTGATACAAATGAGCCTATTTACAAAACAGAAATAGACCCACAGACATAGAAAACAGACTTATGGTTACCTATAGGGAAAGGGGAAGAGGGAAGATAAATTAGGAGTTTGGGATTAACCTGTACACTACTGCTACTATATATAAGATAGTTAAAGAACAAAGTCCTACTGTATATCACAGGGGACTATACTCAGTATTTTGTAATAATCTATAAGGGAAAAGAATATAAAAAAGAATATACATATGTATACATATATGTATATATATGTGTGTGAGTATATATATATATATATATATATATATAGCATTCACTGTGCTGTACACCTGAAACTAACATGATATTGTAAATCAACTATACTTCAGTTAAATAATTAATTAACTATTAAAAAAGGATGTACCAAGCTTCCAATAACCAATTTCCTTTTCCAAAATAGGAGCCAGTCCGTTGTATTTTATTCATGATTGGTTAAAACATACTGAATTCCTTTTCCTTTCATTCTCCCTGGTTTGCCAGGAAAATTTCGAGAGGAATTTAAAGCTGCATTTTCTTGCTGTTGCCTTGGAGTTCATCACCGCCAGGAGGATCCGCTGGCCCGGGGACGGACGAGCACTGAGAGCCGAAAGTCCCTGACCACCCAGATCAGCAACATTGATAACATATCAAAACTGTCCGAGCAGGTCGTGCTCACGAGCGTTAGCACACTCCCAGCGGCCAACGGTGCGGGGCCACTCCAAAACTGGTAGAAGATTGATGCCTAGGACAGGGATGCCTGAGTACCACTCTCCTTTTTTTAAATCTCTGTACACAGAAATTTTATTACTTTGTGGACCCATTTTTTTTTTAAAAAGAAAATGATCTCTTGCTCTTTGGAAATAAAGTCAGTTTAAAATCATTTCTTAACTTTTGATTGAGATATGTTAGAAGTTGAAACTTCCACTGAACTTATTTTCAGGCTGTTTCACTTTTAGCTTCGTGTATTAGGATTTGTGTCAATTAAATGTACGAGCATTTCCAATTCTAATTGTTATTTTAATCTTACCTTCAAATTGGTGGCTAAAAGTTGCCCAAACTTATCCTTTGGTTTTCTTTTGGCTACTAAAAGTAGTAGCAATTACTAACTCTGGATTAACAAGAGATATGTTAGTTGACATTATAGTTTTAAAAAAATCACTAAAGAGTGTCATTATGGTGTGACATTTGAGAGTATATTTATATACAAAATAACATTATGTTAGACAACTCAAAAGCTATCTTTCAGAACTATAAAAACATGTATACTATTCAACTTTATTTTCCATTAATTTTATAACTCATTTACACAGTTTTCTTGGGTTTGTAACCTTACCATTGCTAACATTTATCATTTCAGCATATGGCCAATAAGACTCTGTATTCAGGTAAAAACTGTGGAGTAACTATAAACACACAATTTCCATCTCTAAGGAAAGATTTCAACATTTAAGACTAAGATATCCCATTATTGTATTCTTCTAACCAATAAAAATGAGGTAACTGGCCTTGCTAGATGAAATTAAGAATTCAATTTACAAAGAAAAAGGGTAGTAGAATACCAAATCATATCTGGGTCCCATATTGGACAGGGTAATGCCATGGAGATTTGATGGTAAATATTTGCATTTATTTACGTTTTGTAAGCATCTATCAAACACCTCCCAGAAAGCACCCACCGTGCTAGGTGCTAGGGTGTGAATGTGCCTTCAAGACAGCTCCAGTCCACTGAGGGGGACCTGTTGGTAGAGGCTGCAGAGCAGCAAGGCATTCTGGGAGATGATTCAGACTCAGAGCAGGAAGCAACCAATGATGGTGGTCCTCACCATGACATGGACAGGGAGGTTGCACTTTTTTGTTTCTATTTAATTACAGTGACTCTATTGATGTTAGTGAATTCTACCTGGGCCTGTGACTGAGAGCCAGGTGACTAGGAGAAGGGAGGGGTTTGCTCTTACTCACACACAAATGAACAGGAGTGCAGTACGTTCCATACAAATGTAAGATCTGGGCTTCAAAGTACTGAATATTTTCTTTTTTTCTTTCTTTCTTTCTTTTTTTTTTTTTTTTTTTTGCTGTACGCGGGCCTCTCACTGTTGTGGCCACTCCCGCGGTGCACAGGCTCCGGACGCGCAGGCTCAGCGGCCATGGCTCACGGGCCCAGCCGCTCCGCGGCATGTGGGATCTTCCCGGACCTGGGCACGAACCCGTGTCCCCTGCATCGGCAGGCGGACTCTCAACCACTGCGCCACCAGGGAAGCCCGGATATTTTCAATTTGCTTCTCTGCAAAATTATTCTGATTCAAATAGTCACTTTAAAAGTAAAAGAGATGTTCATGGAAAGTTGCTCTTCTTCTTATAGTATAGTAGCAGGCATTCTTATTTTATTGAAACAAAAGATATGCAGAATATTTAAGAAAGATTTTCATAGAATATAAAAATTATCTTGCTCTTTTCTTACTTTTTTTTTTTCCAACTCATCACTTTCAGAAAGAATATAACCAAATTATCCACAAATGGTTTTTGTGCCTTAGAACCGGGGATTACTTTGTGCTTCTTACGACTCAAAGCAAAAACTACCCTCAAATATGAGGTTTATTGAAATTATATTGCTAATTATCAGAACAATATCAATGAAAGCAAAGTATTGTAACTCTCTGCTTTCTCCCCTTTGTACATCTGAGAACTTTTTTTCTTATTTATGCTGCATGATAGAAGAGTTGTGATTTTCACATTGCTATGGACGCTAGCACTTTAGTTTGAGAATGAGGATAATGTCAAATAATATTGATCATATGCCTTAGTAGCTAAGTAATTTGCCGAATCAGCAATTCTGAGATCAGAGTAAGAGCTAAATGTTTCAGATCCTAATATATCTAGTTATTTGTCATTTAAGAAGAGAGATTGAGAGAGAGAGAGCAAGAAAGTGAGAGCTAGAGCTTGAGAGACAGAGAGAGAGGCTCAGAGAGGCAGTAGTTGTGTGATTTTGTGAAGAACAGACTCAGAAGTCAGAATTGCTTTGCTCTAAATCAATGATTTTCAAAGTGTGCTTCCTGAGCCATCAGATTCAGCATCACCTGAGAACTTATTAGACATGCAGATCTTCACCCTATCCCAGATTTGCCAAATCAGAAACTTTGGGGTGGTACACAGGAATCTGTGTGTTCACAAGCCCTACAGGTGATTCTGAAGGGCCTTAAAATTTGAGAACCACTGCTCCAGAGACTACCACCTGGCACTGACATACTAGCCCATATGAAATAAAGTATTTTACTGCCTAGGTATCTACAGCAGGGACCACCGTCATCACTACTGTCAACCTGATTGGAGGTCAGAAAGAAGAGGCTAAGTACCAATGTTGAAAGTCACTCAGCATTATCTCACTCAAAGAGGTAATGCTTTATGAAATAGTGCCCCTGTGTTACAAGTGCAGTTTGGAAGAAGACAGGTTTTAGAGCCCTGGCGTGCTTTATGGCTACTTGGATGATTTGAGTTTCTTTCTTTTTTTTTTTTTTTAAGATTTTTTTGATGTGGACCATTTTTTTAAAAAGCCTTTATTGAGTTTATTACAATATTGCTTCTGTTTTATGTTTTGGTTTTTTGACCCCGAGGCATGTGGGATCTTAGCTCCCCGACCTGGGGTCAAACCCTCACCCCCTGCGTTGGAAGGCGAAGTCTTAACCACCGGACCACCAGGGAAGTCCCTGAGTTTCTAACTAAAACCTTCAAATCTCCAGTTTTATTTACCCTTACAAAAACCTAAGTTTGTAGAAGCAGACAGTTGCCAAGAATGAGCATTTCCCAGAAGGAAAAAGCAAACACACACCAGTCCTTACAAGAAACTGTGGGAATGGAATAACAGCCCAGGCACACTGCTGTCAACTTGTTGATACAAGAATCCTCCTAAGAGGTCTGGATTTAGTACTGACCATCATAGGGCAAATGGGAAAGAAACAGGTGTTCCCAAAACCTGCCAGTCTTATGGAACAAAGGGTCAACTACTTACGTGCTAATAACACAAATTAGAAGACTTCTTCTGAAAGCAGTGTGTTGTGACTGTTTGATGCTACACATAGAATATATATCTCTCTTGTTTTGCTATATTTCACAGATTGAATGTAAAATGTCATTAATTTTACTGAAATTTTGTTATCAATAAGAGTGTGATAATAATTTTACCTAATATAGAATCCATTTGAAGTTCATTATTTCTGAATTTCTACAAACCTATGATAATGTTGATATTCGAATTCATTCATTCTTGGCAAAAAGGTAATTCTCAATTTCTGAGGAAAATGTCTTCTAAATTCTCCAAGGCTTGGAACATTTCTTAGGTATTAAATAACTGTTATAAATCATTGATAAGTTAATTGCAAAACTGTCAGGCACAATGATATTGAGCTTCACTACCAGTGTACATTGTTTTAATGAAGATAAAGGAAAATATGCTTATAAAATGTAATCTGAATATACATAAACCTGAATGACAATGTCAGAATGACAAACCTCATAGATACTTTTGGACACAAATTGTGAAGAGGGCTATTACTATTTTAATGCTAGTGTAATAATAGATGTTTTACATTTGATATAAATAATAATAATCAAATGCATTTCAAAAACAATCTGGGAAGTCATTATAATTTAGAAAACTTTTCAATTCCAATTAATTTTACAACAGAAGATTTTCCTACAAGTTACAAGTCAAAAAAGAGTAAATTCTATTAGGTTATGTGCAATTAGCTTTCAAATGGCATGAAGCAAAATTATAGATTTTTTTTAGAGACAATATATGTAAACAAAAAATATTGTTAATTTAAGTCTATTCTATTATCTTATGCACATAGAAAGTGAAGTGCAAAGGCATGAAAAACACTGTTATCTCCCCAAATTCAAAGGGGATTGTTTTCTAGAGAACTATTACATTAAAGAGGGAGAAAATTACTCCCACCCTCTTGCCACGTATTTCTATGATCTCAAAATTTCTTTGTAAGTTTTCGAGTCAGAATGCCTTTTAAGTTTTTCATGAAATGTATTTCTATAATTGTTGTATGCCACATGTGTAACATCATGTCACTTGTTTAACAGTTATTTTATACATTTAAAGTTCTTTATGCCTGATTTACTGTGTCTGCAAGATGAAATTTCTTATCCAATCCAACGCGATTGCACACCAACTACCCTGAAGGATGCTGCTTAGGTAGTTTTAAAGTAAAAACCATACCGAGAATTCTATAATCACATTCACACTGCCCTCTCTATTGTATGAAAAATCTTGCTGTTGTTCACTAGATAAGTTGGATATTCACTCATAACTAGTGTCAAATCTTTGCAGTTAAGAATTGAATTAAGCCCTCTGGTGCAGGACTTAATGACCAAAATATTTTTCCCAATAAGTTTATATAACCAGGGAAAATCATGATATAAAAGGTTTTTAATGTTGTTTTTAAGAGCAGATACTATAATAAAGATGGTTAGGATTAATAAATATTTCATAAAAATTATGTAAAACTGCCTACATAGAGCATTAAATTTAGGAGTTTTATCTGAGTTAAGAGATTTACTTAGTCTTGTTTTGACTTAGAGGAAATGATGACCTTCTGGTTTTCAGTTTGTTATTAGAATAATAAGTACAGCATTTGCATAAATAAGCAATTTTTTTCTTGGTCATTGTATCTAAACTTTTAGGACTATTTTAAGTTCACTGATAAATTTTAAAATGTATATTTTCTGCTTTCCATTCACCTAATGATTCTGATAAATTGTGGAATCAACAGCTAAGGATTTTAATTTAAAAATCCATTTTTATTCAGCACTGTTGTTTCTAACTTTGATCGAAATGGAGCCATAGAAACTGGGGAAGGTCAATGCTTGGCTCCTTCCAGGGAAATAAGATTTGAATGTGGGGCGGTTTCAAAACATAAAGTGAAACTTTCAGGATGAAATCCCAGGAAAGACCAGCTGTTCTAGCAGCGAGGGTTTTTGCTTTGACTGATCCATTTCACAGAC